AGGTTCCACCGTCACTGGACCTGGAGGTTCCACCTTCACTGGACCTGGAGGTTCCACCGTCACTGGACCTGGGCTGGTGTTTACAGATGTTCCGTCCAGCAGCTCGTGCAGTTCTCGTGTGTTCGCACGGTTTATTGAACATGGAACAGCGGAGGACGCGGCCTCAAACGTCTCGGATGAGGTGAAGGTACTCACGCTGCTTTTCGTGTCCAGGACCGACTCGTGCGGGTTAATGAAGGCATGAGCGATCTTAATCACGTGCTCCAGCTTCCTGGGCTGCTCCTCCACTTTGGCTGCCAGGAACAACGTGGTCTGGGAAATGATCTGTGGGGGGAGGAGCTTATTACAGGGTATACAGCAGGTGAATGCGCGTGCGCGGAGCATACTCACATTTCGATGGAACTTGGTGAAAGAATGGACCATATAAAACCTGTGCATGTAAACTATGGCGGTGTTGATGATGAGTTGAGAGCTGGGGACGAGTCAGGAACTAGAACCGGAAACACTTGATGCCAGATGTTCTGTAAACACGAGCCTCGGCCTGTAAACACCTTTAGCCACCTGAGTGTTTTAGCTGTTCCTTGTTGTCACTGCACACAAAGCTAACAGCTAGCTAGGAACCAAACAAAGGCTCAGCTCAGAGGCGTCAAGGCAGCTCGGGTGTTGTAGTCTTACGAAGGACTACAAGGTGGAGAGCAGCAGGTTTCGAAGTGTACATGAATTTAGGAGGAGCCGCGCCGCAGCTAGCCGGCTAGCCGCTGCGCCTCACAAAGGATACACGTTGAGCCTCTGGCCGATGTCCTGGATCAGGTTGGCGGCCTGCTGCCGGTACGAGAGCTCCCGGTCCGCCTCGACCCCGCAGCACCGAGACGGCGTGTTCTCCAGCTGCTCCCGGGTGAACAGCCATTTGGTGGAGGGTCCCCGGTGCACCGCCATTGCGCTTCCGCAGCCGAGCCCCGACGGTGGTTCGCACCGGGAGGGGAGCTGACAGCGGCGCCGGAACACCGCGGAGCCGGGCCGGCCTCACTGCGGCTCTCGGTGCGCACGAGGAGCGCCCCCCGGCGGTCGGAGGGAGAACTGCACCTTTTATTTATACATGCATATTATATTTATACATGCATATTATATTTATACATATATATTATATTTATACATACATATTATATTTATACATATATATTATATTTATACATGCATATTATATTTATACATACATATTATATTTATACATACATATTATATTTATACATACATATTATATTTATACATATATATTTATACATACATATTATATTTATACATATATATTATATTTATACATATATATTATATTTATACATACATATTATATTTATACATACATATTATATTTATACATGTATATTATATTTATACATACATATTATATTTATACATATATATTATATTTATACATATATTATATTTATACATACATATTATATTTATACATACATATTATATTTATACATACATATTATATTTATACATGCATATTATATTTATACATACATATTATATTTATACATACATATTATATTTATACATATAT